CACCACTGGTGTGTCTGGCACGAACTCGGACACAATTACCAACAAGGATTCTTTTGGTCGAACGTTTATGGCTCCGAGGCGACCGCCAACCTGTTCTCGCTCTTCGTCCAGGAGCAGCTCTTCGGCACAGACCGCCTGAAGGAAAACGGCGACTACCAGAAGGCCGCCGACGCCATAGACAGCGGCCAGTACTTCAAGGACTGCAGCAGCTGGCACAAGCTCGTGTTCCTGATGGAGATCAAGCACGCCTTCCCCGACAAGGGATGGGAGATGTTCCGGCGGCTGCACCAGAGGACGCGCCGTCTCTCCGAACAGGAGGCGGAGCGACTCGCCTCGGACCGGCAGCTGCAGCTCGACTACGTCTACAGGAACCTGAGCAAGATCGCAGAGAGCGACCTGATCCTGACGTTCCAGCGCTGGGGATTCTGCGTGAGTCAGGAGGCGCACGAGGAGGTGCAAGGCCTCGGGCTCGAGAAGGCGAAAGCTGACCTGTCTCTCAGGGCTTGAGGCGATGCTTCGAGGCGATGGGAAGCTTGCTCTCCAATTTGTGTTTGTCTTTTATCTGATTAACATCTATTTATATACACATAATACATGTCATATATATATATATACATATATATATATATATATATATATATATATATATATATATATATATATATATATATATATATATATATATACATATATATATGTATATATATATATATATATATATATATATATATATATATATATATATATATATATATATATATATATATATATATATATATATATATATATATATATACATATATATATATATATATATATATATATATATATATAATATATATATATATATATATATATATATATATATATATATATATATATATATATATATATATATATATATATATATATATATATATATATATATATATATATATATGTGTGTGTGTGTGTGTGTGTGTGTGTGTGTGTGTGTGTGTATGTGTGTGTTTGTGTGTGTGTGCGTAGGTATGTATGTATATATATATATATATATATATATATATATATATATATATATATATATATATAATATATATTATATATATATATCGGTATGACATATATATATATTATATATATATATATATATATATATATATATATATATATATATATATATATACATATACATATTAACACACACACACATAAATATATGTATACATAAAATGTGTGTGTGTGCGTGATAAGATTCTTGAGATAAACATGACAGCAAGAAATATCCAGTTTCTAGAAAAGCAGACCTTGGGAGCATCGTTTGCCTTAAGCATAGTTACCGCATGCATTACTTTTCAGTGTCATTGTATTCAGTGCGTTGGCATTTGTTGTTTTTTTGGACATGCAGCCGGTTTGTTATAATTGTGCCAGGCCCGACCCAATGAATTTTCATAAATACAGATGCAGAAATAAAGGCATATCTCTGTAAGTATCTGATAGATATAATTTAACCATCTATTTGCCGGGTTGATATGTATGTCTAGACTGATTGATATGCATTTGTTTCTCTATTTATGCATGTCAAGTATACGAATATTCTTTGGGTCGGGCCTCGCACAATTCGAACAAACCGGCCGATAGTCGAGAAATGATAATTGATATTAAAAGCATAAACAAAGTGATGATTAATTACTTTTTGTAAAATATATGTTTTATACGGCCAAAAAATGATGTATTTTGTAAAAAAAAATATATTTTTCTGTAAGATGGATTTTCCTTCAATAATTATCCAGAAGTTCTTTGAATGACATATTCGTATGTAAGTACGCATAAGCTAACACAATAAACAAAGGCAAGAATTCAAAGAATTATACAGACATGCATAGATACACACACACACACACACACACGCACACACAGACACAGACACAGACACAAACACACACACACACACACAGTCATGATAACATTAAACAGTATCATGTATATAATACATATAAATAAATATACATTTAACAATAAACACTGATCTTAAAAACTGAACCCGAAATGCTGTAACGAAAAAATAAACCCACAACATTTTGAGTAAAAAACAGGACTGAATTAGAAGTGGAAGATTATCAGCGCACATGTGTATGGATTCATGTGCGTGGATATGTGTGTGAGTATCAAAGCCTGCATATATATATATGATTTTTTTACGTATTCCCAATTTTCTAACTTGGGAAAACTTCACAACCACTTGATTTTGTATTGTATCTTCGCACAATATGCCTAAAAGGCAATAAGAATTAAATTAGGAAGTTTGATGCAATACAGATTTACACTCGGGAACAACGAACTCATAAAACCAATCGTAAAATGAAAGCGATGCGAATCTCTGCCAACCTCCAGTACCACAAAATCGAGGAATCAAACGCCCTAGGTTCCCCTGGCATGATTTCTTTTATTAATTTATATTTTTCCTGGCTATTGATTAACATATATGAGAAAATACACGCATACACACATAAAGAGAAGT